TTTTTGTCGCCGGGATGGCTCTTGTGCTTCGCGCATTTCTACGTCGAATATCGTCAGTTGGTGAGGCGTGCATTTTTTTATCTTTCAAGCTCAAGGTTTTTAATTGTTTCCGCATTTCTGGGTGCATTCTTATGTCTATTCACCCTTCTGCAATCGCTAACAAAAAGTTGTAGCAGGTTTGTATTTAACCTCGGCAAAAGGGACTTTGGTGCCATTACGTAGATGACTCATCAAGAGAACGTAGCGTTTAGTGGACGGCACGGTCTGTCGTAGCATGAAGGCAGAATACCAGATACTTTTGTCCCTCCCCGTTTGTCATCTTGATACGACAAATAACCTTAAAATACGTGCAGTTTTGCACGAAATCAATCGTTCCATAGAAAATGAATTTTTATCTAAAGGGTTCTTATTGTACGTCCTCAAATTGTGAAACGATCTTTAAACGGGGAAAATATGAGTAATTATAAAAATGCCGTATCGTTTTGTCTGTTGCGTATGTGGGCTGAACTCACGTCGGTGATAAACTCGTAAAACATGACTGGACTTTTGTAACTTAACTCAAGTTTACGAAACGTCAGTTTAAAAGTCTTGTTCGATAACGCAGGCTACTCAATTTTAGAGCTGATGTTGATACTTTTGGGGCCGCGTGCGACTGCCGGTCTTTCGCATTGCCGCGAAATTATCATCCAAACGGGTGTCTATTCTACAAAACAGAAGACTTCATAATATGTGATATATTTCATTTTGAATGGAACTTGCCCTCAAGTGTCCTGTACAGCTTCGTCGTGTTGACTCATCGTTAACCTCATTTGCCGTTACAGTTGAAAATGTAATATACTGTCCACAATGAATGTTGACAGCACGGGTTTCACCAATGCTGGCATACATCGTCCGCCGCATGCCTTAAATGTGCTACTTAGGTTGTAACCGTAAGCAGGTACTCTCATTTTTGATAAGAGATGCTATAAAGATAAGTTAGAGCTGATTTATTCACATGAGTGAAGGTCTGGGGTAAATGCATTTGGCACTCGTAGAGCTAATTACGTCATTCACGCAAAGGTTAGTGAGTTCGGTTTTGGATTTCATCCGTCTCCAATTAAACTGACGTTGGTACATGTAACACTGTACTCGGAGGTATACTTTTGATGAAATCACACTGTATGGGAACGGCAGTTCCTTCTACCGAGTACCCACGCTCTTTACACACAAGCCTTATACTAGATTTAACTCACTTAAAATTCTTTTTTTGATCCGCCGCGTTGTCTGTCGCATGCAAGCGGGGTGTTATTAACTAATGCGTTGCATTTTTGGCCTGATTCAGGCCACTTCTACGTGGCCTGATCATTACCATCTGAGAAACTCATGTGTCCATGAGTTTGGACAGGCGGTTATTAAAAATCTTCGTACAATGCGCCTCAAAAGAGGTGCCAAATAACTTGTACCTAGCCGTCGGAGCGGTCGTTTTTTTCCGGGTATTATTTTTTATGCGTTTTTTGTCAGTGCGTCCTCTCTAGGGAAAGCATTGTATGGAAAGAAGTTATCAGTCAGAGTGTAAAGTGGACAGTGTTGTGTTCGAGAATAACACAGTAGTCATCTGTCAGGCCACTTTTTGATAGTATTGCCTAACGAAACGCCGAATGATAGATTAGCTGCAAATATAAAACCTGCGCCGTACGTGGGCCGGCTCGCCTTGAATTAGTATCCAACCATCGCCAGCACTAAATACTAACTGCTGATATGCCAAAGGTGGTGTCTTTCGAGAGTTATTCGGCAAGGCACTGGAATAGAAACTCGCTCTCCTCCCTCAAGTAATACAGGTGGTAAATTTTATCGAGTTTCAACCCTAGCTCAAGTCTTAAGCAAAACCCTACCTCCTTGGGAATTACTGCAGTTCCCTCAAAATCGAACAGGTCTCACTGCCGCGTTTTCCGAGTTTCTCTCTCAACACCAACTAAGCATGTGTAGATCGCATACTTTGGGTGCCTCCTTACATGTCGTTCACTTATTTATACTTATTTTTAGCCTCCTTCCCGGTTAATCGTAACTTCAGTGATGTGACATCCAAGCTGGCGTCTCCTGCTTCGCCTACAGCCGCTCTTGCCGATCCACTTGCTTCCCCAGACTACTTCGGCTTCCGCGATTATTTGTCCTTGGAGCAGCTCTTCAGGGCTCGTGTACACCTGGGCCATCGATCAATGCTGCGCAACCCCTATATGACGCCTTACCTTTTTGGTTGTCGTCAGGGTATCGACATTATTGACCTAGAGCAGACTCTTGAGCTCTTGTTTGCGGCACTCAATTTCACCGCGCACGTTGCCTACCGAGGTGGTATTATCCTCTTCATGGCACAGCACAAACAGGTAACTTGAATCCTGCTTCTTTTGTTGCGTTTTTACTAACGTGGTCCTTTTGATCCACGGCAGAACAGACATCTGCCGTAGTGCTGTTCTGCAATGCTTACCGAATACTGTCAGGCACAATACACTCGAGTGACGTTAATTTTCACCAAGTTTCATTCTACCTTTGATTTGTCTTACGGGTACGCGAGCGGCGATGCACCCAGAGCCTACGGCCAGATGCGCACACCAGTTGAGTCATGCCTGCAGACCGGCCGCGCACGCCATCGCCTCGAGCACACACACTGCTCATATGCAGTGCAAATATTCTAGAACAGTCTCCCAGGGCCGCAGCATGGTTAAATACGGATCAGCTTACAGGCCAGAACCCCCTTCGCATGCTGTAGGCTAGGATTCTTCTAGAAGAACCAGAGCCTTATAAATAGGCTTTAGTGGACAAGCAAATGGACCCACTGTCTTTATGCTGTTCTGAATAAAAGCTCTTGCTATCAGAACCGGCTCTTGCCTGTTTTCTGCCTCTTCTCGGGACA